GAGGAGGAACGCGCGAGGACTCGCGAGGACGCGAGGACCATTTCCACCATCGGCACCATCCCCACCCGCCAGTTTTCGAGCTGAGCCCAGCCGTGGCGAACCGTCGATCGATCGTCGGGTCATCGGGTCATCCGTCGTGGAAATCGAGGCGGACCCGGACCCAGCGGTGGCGACGCGACGAACATGGTCCTCGCGTCCTCGCGGTCCCTCCTCCTTCCTTCCCACTCACCATCCTCATCCTCATCATCCACGTCCACTTCGCCATCTCCCGCATCCAACCTCTTCCTCCTCTCCTCCTCATCCTCCTCCTCATCCTCATCTTCCTTCTCCACATCCTCCCTCATCTCATACATACACTCCTACACCGCTTCGTATCGCCTCGCATTTTTTAGTCATCCTGAGTCATCCTCGTCTCCTCGTCCTCCTCAGCTCCGTCAGTCATCCTCGTCATCCTTATTCCCCTTCGTCCTCGTCCTCCCTTTCTCCACCCCCCCATCTCATACTTCCGTCATCCCCTCCTCCGCTTGCTCATCCTCATCCTGATCCTCAGCCTAGCCCCCCACTCCGCGCGCGCGCTTTCGCGCGCGCGTGCCCCGGCGCGGGCTCGAGCGGCCCTCCAGCCCCAGCCCTCCGCGGCGGGCGCGGCGCCCGCCAGGCCCGCGGCCGTCCTCGCGGCGGGGGGTTGGGAGGGGAGCTATGAGAATGAGAGCACGACCACGAGGAGGGGGAGGGGGGAGAGGATGAGGAGAGGATGCGGCGGAAAGGAGGATGAGGAAAGGAGGAGGATGAGGATGAGGAAAGAATGAGGAATGCGGAGGTGTGGGACAGTGGAGGATGATGGGGATGACGACGACGACGAAGGATCATGTGCACTCCTCAGGACACGAGGACGGGAGGGGAGGAGGAAGCGAAGGCGGAGGAGGGAGGAGGAGGACGACGACGAGGGACGAGGACGAGGAGACGAGGACGAGGAGTAGGACGAGGAGCGAGTCGCCTCCGAGTCACCAAGTCATCCTCCATTCCTCCATCATTATCCTCTCCTCACTCTCCTCATCAATCATCCAACTCAGTCCTCCGAGTCATCCGCTCCTCATCTCATCCGCCCCCCCCTCCTCCTCCTCCTCATGCTCGTCATCCCCCCCCTCATGCCCTCATCCGCCTCCTCGCCCTCCTCTTCCGCGTATTCCTCCTCATCTCCTCATCCCCTCCTCCGCGCCATTCCTCGTCCCATCTTCCCTCTGACTCATCCTGATTCCCCAGCCTCCTGGCGCATTCTGCATTCTGCCTCTCTCCTGTCACCCTACCCTACCGTTCCCGCCATCGCCCCCTCATCCCTCGCGCCCCCTACCCCCTACCCTACCCCTTCCACCCCCTCCCCCGACACAGTCGTTCTTTCTCAGTCCCTCCTTCTCGCCGCCACATCCTCTCATACTCTCATCCCTCCTAGGCTCTGAGGTCCGTCGACCAATCCTGTCCCCTGGCGGAAGGCACGGCGGAAGGTCGGGGCGCAGACGAGGCGCGCACCCCAAACGCCTGAGAGGCGAACAGCAGCCGCCGCCCGGCGACTCCACCACAGACGGGGCTGACTGCGCCACGAAGCAAAACACCGTGGGACTGGGACCGTGGTCGTGGTGGCTGCCTCGACTCCCCGACTCCCACCCTCCTACCCTCCTCCTCCTCCTCCTCCTCCTCCTCCTCCTCCTCCTCCTGTCCTTTCATTCCCCCTATGGACCTCGCGCTCCTCGCCATCTCGTCCTGAGCCCACGGGCCCGCGGGCAGGTGACGCGCGCGCGGCCGTGCTGCCAGCCCCGACTGGCACAGCCCGCACCGCACTGCGTCATTGTGAATTTCGAATCGCACGAATTCGCTACATCACTAAACTCTTGCTGTTTGACAAACCGTCCTCCTCGACTCCTCGACTCGCCGACTCGCTGTGACTCGTCGTGTTCGTATTCCTCGTCGGTGCTGTCGGCGTCGAGTCGGAGGGTCGAGGGGTTGGCCGCCCAGGCCAATGCGGGAGGCCCCCAGGCCAACCTAAACTCGCGGCCAACAGTCGCCAGTCGCCAATCCACCCGACCGCGCGGGGCGGGTCGAGTGGCGGCGGCGTCACGTCGTCGTCGCGTCGTCGTCATCTCGTCGTCGTCGCAGTCGTCGTATCGTCGCATCGTCGTCTCGTCGTCTCGCAAGTCGCGCCGTCGAGCACTCGAGCACTCGAGCACTCGAGCAGCTCGAGCAGCTCGAGCAGCTCGAGCAGCTGGGCAGCGGGCGGGCAAGCAGGCAAGCACTCACTCACTCACTCACGCAAGTGCTTGTTATCCTTCTGCTTCGTGCTCCTGCCGCTGGCGGCCGCCGCCGCCGCCGCCCGCTGCACCAGACCAGCGGGCGGGTGCTCCGAGATGAAGAGCGCCGCCGCGGTAGGCCCGAAGAGCGACGTCGCGTCCACCGGGGGCGCGTTCGTGTGCTGCTGCTTCGTCGGCCTCTTCTTGGGCGGCAGGTCTGAGGCCACTTCGGCACGATTCAGCCCCGAGACAGATGATCCAATGAAGGCGGGCGTCGGCACGAGCTTGCGCACCGAGGAGGAGGAGGGGGAGGAGGAGGGGGGGGAGGAGGGGAGGGGCGAGAAGGAGGAGGAGGAGGAGGAGTAGGAGGACGAGGGGGTGGGGGGGAGGAGGAGAGGAGGGAGGGGAGGAGGGGGGCTGAGGGGGGCTGAGGGGATGAGGGGAAGGATGAGGAGGAGTGAGGAGAGGAGAAGGGGATAAGGGGATAAGGAGAAGTAGCAGAGGAGGAGGAGGAGGAGGAGGAGGAGGAAGAAGAGTCGGAGTCGGAGGAGGAGGGAGGAGGGAGATGAGGAGAGAGGAGGAGAGGAGGAAGAGGGGAAGTGAGGAAGTGGATGAGGGGGAGGAGGAGTCAGGAGGAGAGCGAGGAGGAGGTGGATAGATGGATAGATGAGGAGGAGGAGGATGAGGAGGAGGAGGAGGAGGAGGAGGAGGAGATGAGGAGCTCGGAGAGGAGGAGATGAGGAGGGGGGGGGGGGGGAGAGGGAAGGAGGAGAACGAGGAGAGGCGGGGGGCCGGGGGCTTGCAGCGGGGGCGGAGGAGAAAAAAAAGAAAGAGAGAGCTCGGGCCGATGGGGAGGGGGAGGAGGAGGAGGAGGAGGAGGAGGAGGAGGAGGAAATGTGAGGAGAAGGAGAGAAGGAGGAGGAGGAGGCGGAGGAGGAGGAGGATGAGGCCACCTTGAGCCCGACATCGGAAACCGTCGGGAGGTGCAGGTGGGGCGGCAAGGTCACCCTGACCGTGGTCTCGATCATCTTGAGGTTGGGCACGATCTCAATCCCATCAGCAGTGTGCGTGTTGGTGTTCACGAGCCACGCGGGGCACGGGCACTCGTCGCTGATGGAGTTCACCGACTCCTCGCTGACGTACACGCCGAGCACAGTGTCGTCACGCGTGTCTGGGGCGCAGACTTTGAGCGCGCAGACTGGATAGGATCGACACGAGGTCGATTTGGTCAGGCCGACGGAGCCGCAGAAGACCAGCTCGAAGTCGTCCCTCAGCGTAGCCTTCAGCTTCGGCGTCAGCACGGCGGCGGCCTTGGGCTTGGGAGCCGCCTTGGCCTTCGCTGCTGGTGCCGTCGATGCTGTCCAGTCGGGCTCGATCTGCTCGAGGTAGCCGTTGATGCCCGTGGCGGCGTCGGCGAAGGCGAGCTCGAAGAGCTTCGACTTCACGAAGTGGCAGAACTGCGTGACCCACCACGCGGCCGGGAAGGTCCGCATCTGGAACGTAATCGTGCAGTCTGCCAGCTCAGCCGCCACAGCCGTACTGTCTGGGTCGGCCTGGCTCCATGGGTGCTACCACCGTGCTCGGCTCACCGTGTCCTCAAAATCCTCACCTCCTCTCCTCACCTCCCTACCTCTCCTCCTCTCCTCCTCTCCCCCTCCTCACCGCCGCACCTCCACCTCCTCCTCGTCCCCGCGCATGGTGCATATCCTCCTCATCATCCTCATCCGCATCTCCTCGCCGACCTCCACCTCGGACTCGCATTTATTATGCGCATATATATAGATATAGATATACCTCCTCATTTTATCCTCCCTCCTACTCCTCCTCTCCTCCTCCCTCCACCTCCTGAATACTCCTATCCTATCCTCATCCTCCTCTCCCTCAGCCACCGCGGTGGGCCACCGCGGCGCCTTGCCCAGGTTGATGTGGCTGCCCGCCGCCAGGGCCACGGCCTTGTCGTCCATGTACCTGGCGAGGCGGGCCGGCGGCAGAGGTGCAGAAGGGGGGGGGCGAGGGCCGCGGGAGGGGATGGATGGGGATCCTGGAGGGGAGTGGGGGAGGAGGGGAGGAGAGGAGGAGAGGAGGAGGGGAGGTCGGAGGTGGGGAGGATGAGGAGGAGGAGAGGAGGAGGAGGAGGAGGACGAGGAGGAGGAGGAGGAGGAGGAGGAGGAGGAGGGAGGGGAGAGGAGGAGATGAGGAAGAGGAGGAGGTTGAGGATGAGGATGAGGATGAGGAGAGGAGGGGGAGAGAAGGAGTCAATGAGCCAAGGAGTCAAGGAGTCTCTTCTGAGAAGGAGGAGAGGGTGATGAGGAGATGAGGAGGTCCTGAGGAGGAGGAGTGGGGACGAAGATGAGGTGATGACGCTGACGAGGAGGAGGAGGAGGAGGAGAGGGGGCGAGGAGGAGAGGAGGAGACTGACGAGGAGAGGATGAGAGGAGGGGAGAGGAGAGGCAGGAAGACAGGAGGATTGGAGTATAAGAGGATGATGAGGAGGGACGCGGGGAGGAGGACGATGAGAGGAGGAGGGGAGGAGGAGGAGGAGGAGGAGGAGGAGGAGGAGGAGGGAAGGAGGGAAGGAGGAAGGAAGGAAGGTGGAGAGGCTCAGGAGGCTCTGAGAGGAGGGAGATAGGAGTAAAAGAGTCAAGGGGAGTAGGGGAGTAGACTAGGGGAGCAGTGGGAGGAGGTGCCAGGGGGTAGGAGTAGGATAGGAGGTTGGACCGCCGCTGGCACTCGTACACGCGTTTCAGCGTCGCCACCCGCTGGTACACCGACGCCCCGGTGTCGCCGTGAACCATGAGCTCGCCCTGGCCAGCCGCGCCGACGCCCTCCGCCTCCGCGGCAGGCGCGGCCGCGGCGGGGCCATCAGGGGCAGGGGGCCGGGTGGCCGACGACTCCGACGCCGACACCGACCTCGAAGATGGGCTGCTGTCATCGACTAGCCTGCGCGACGCCCGGAGATCAGACAAGATCGCAGTGGGCTCCTTGCCGTCGTAGACGCCGCACAGAAACTCCGTGTAGGTCGCCACCCACTCGTCGTAGGAAACGTGCTGGTCCACGGCTCCCATGGTGTCGAGCGTGCCCAAGCGACTCGCCAATATGTCCAGGTCGATGTTGGTCGTCTTCTGAGCACCCCCAGCGTTAGCGGCGCCCGTATCAATGGACACATGGTGGAACATCTCCTGTACTTGAAGCACGTCTGCCAATATGTGTTGCGTGTGCACTGCCCTGATGCGCACGAACTTCGTCAACGTCGGCACGTCGCTGAAGTACTTGATGGCCGCGCCAGGCAGCTGAGACGTCTGGCGCACGGCTTTGAGGGAGAGCTGGCCGATGCCAAGCATGTCCTCCGGGATCTCCTTGATGAGCGCGTCCTTCACCAGGCCGAGGAGGTGCAAAATGAAAGCTGAGACCCTCCCTGGCGCAGAAGATGATGCGATGGCGGCGAGCTTATTCCCTTCAGTCATCCCGAGGAGCTGAAACAGATCGTTGTTGACTCGCCTGTACGCGGCGTGCAGCTTGACAGTCACAGCTTGGTTGTTCGCACTCATGAACGCAGTGAGGGCGGCACCGCCGGCTGCGATCGCTGACTCCAGCCGCATGAGGGTGGTGGTCTCGTCTGACGAAGCGGCCGATGATAGAGGTGCACTCTCGACGTCGTCGGCGTCGACGAAGTCGAGCTCCATCGTCTCCTCGCCCCCCCTGCCCAACTGGGCGTTGTGCGCCATGGAGGCCGCGACGTCGCGCACCTTGACCTTGAGCTCGGACCACTTTGTGTACTGCATTTTGCCCAGCGCCACCTGCTTCGACCAACAGAACTCCAACGCCACTGTCATCATGGCCCTGAATATCGGCTCCTTCTCCTCGTCACTGATCTCTGCATCTGACATGGCTGTGATGATGGCAATGGCAGCGTCGACCACCCAGATCTTCTGAAGCTCCAGGTTATCATGCGTCTCCACTGGCGCCTTGACGATAGCGCCACCAGCCTTGAGCTTTTTGTTCGGCGGCTCTGGCGGCGAGTCGCTGCCCGCGGCGGCCGCCGCGGCCCGCGCCTTCTCCGCCGCTTCGGCCTGCTTCTTCGCCTCCTTCTCGGCGGCCTCCAGCGCCTTCCTGGCGTACAACTGCCCCTTCTTGTGCGACTGGCTATCCGACATGTCCGCCGAGAGCCACTTGCACATGTCCAGCTGCTGCGCGTCGAAGATCCACTTCTTGGGGCGGGGCAGACCCGCGGTGGGGACGAGGAATTCCAACGCAAGCTGCCAAATGACGGCGAGGGTCCCAGAGTCCAGAGCATCGCGGACTTCGACACTGAACAGCGCAACCGATACGGCATGGAGGTTGAAGACAGCCGTGGCATTGTTCATGCGCTCGTCCGTAAAGCGGCAGTGCTTCCCCAAGAACTCCTCCGTCCACTGGGTCAGCTTGTTGCGCTTCAACGTCCCGCAGAGCGCCTGGGCGGGGACCGGGGATCAGGGATCAGCAGTTCCGACTCCAAGCCCCCCCCCCCCTCACCTCCTCACCGTTCTCGAACCCTCGACCCCCTCATCACCTCATCGTCTCCTCGTCCTCCCCTCCTATGGACCCTCCGAACGCACCGCCCTCCCCTTGGGGGGGGAGGGGCGGGTCTCAGAGGGGCGGGCTGGCGGGGCAGGCGGGAGGAGCGGGAGGAGGCAGGCTCGGAGGCAGGGAGGTGGAGAGGTGGAGGTGGTGTGTATGCTGGAAGAAAGTTCGCAGACGGGGCGCGCCTTGCACGCCTTCAGCTCGTTCTCGCTGCCGAACTTCTGGTCCTGCTTCTTCGGGTACTTGAACTGGAGGAACTCCCACAGGCTGTTGTACGGAGCCTCCACCATCTTGGCCGCCTTGAAGTCCACGTTGAGCTTGCGGTAGAATCCGAAGTGCTGGAGGAGCGTGTATTTCGAGCCTCCGTGCCACTCGTTGTGCCAATCACGAAGCCAGTCGGTAACGTCATCCGGAGTGCGAGCTTGAAAGCAAGTGACGTTCGAAAGCCCCTTCTCCAAGCTCAGCTTGATCAGGACGTTCGACACCTCGCCATCGGCGCTGGAGGCCTTGTCCGCCTCCACCGCCTGGTAGAAGCCGCGCGACAGGGTGCCATATGTGATCATCTGCAGAGGGTACTCGCCATCGGGGTGGAGCGTGCACCAAGGGTCCCCGCGCACGCCAGGGACGTGCCCATACTCTGCGACCTTCTCGGCATACTCTTGCACCACCTGGTCTTGGCGGCGCTCGTTGTTTGGATGCGGGAGCATGCTCTTCTCCCCGTTGACGTACCAGGGCACGGTGATGCCTCGCTTGCCCGGGATGGCGTACACGTTGAACACTGCATCTTGAAGCGCGATGCCCTTCAGCCCAGGGAATCGATGGTAGATGCTCTCGCACGGCTGAAATATCGCACTGCTCGCGTTCATGGTGCTCAGCGTCTGCGGCTGCGGCACGATAGCCATAGCCCCGAGGTCGCTGCCGGCAGCGGGGCAGGGCGCCGGCGGCGGCGGGGCGCTGTCGGCGGCGGCGGCCGCCGCGGCCGCCGATGCCGCTGCCGCCGTGGCCGCCTGCTTGCGCCCCCTGCCGCGACCCCTGCCCGCCTGCGCCCGACCGCCCCTGCTGCCCTTCCCGCCTCGTGCGCCGCCAGAGGTGCCACTTACGCCAAAAGACGGCGGGCCCCGGCGGCCCCGGCCCCCCTGCGCCTCGGCGCCAGAGCCTGCGCTGGAGGTGTCCGACGGCATCTCTCTCGCCAAGCAACTGCTGCCGCGCTGTGGCCACGGGCGCGAGTGAGTGAGTAGACAGTGGACAGTGCACGCGCACAGCAGCTCGGGCCGCCGAAAGGCTGCGGGGGAGGGGGGGGGATGGAGAGGCCTGAGGAGGAGGGGCATGTACGGTGTGGGCTCGAGATCGAATCGAGCTCGCTACGCTGCGTCGCTGAGGCTGAGGTCCCGACAGGCCCGACAGGTTCCGAAGTTCCCAACGAAGTCTTGAAAAAATGGGCGGATCTGGGGAGGAAGCGGGCGGAGGGGAGGAGGAGAGAAGAGGTGAGGAGAGGAGGGGAAATCGGAAAGGGGGGGGAGAAGGAACGGAGGGGAGAGTAGGTATGACCCTGAGGCAGGAGGTAGGTGCTGGGGCAAGGAGGCAAGGAGGGGAGGAGGGGAGGAGGGGATGAGCAGCCCGGGGATGAGGGCGAGGACGTGGCGAGGAGCCTTGCCAGCCACGCCGACCTAGGGTCGAGGGCCGAGGAGTCCTCAGCCTCCGAGGGTCCGAGGAGGAGGCCGCCAGGAGGGGGGGGGAGAGGGAGGAGGGGCCCTGGGACGAGGAGGAAGCCGAGACGCCATCGCACACGCGACCGAAGACCGACGACCGACGACAACTGTGACAACGGCGGCGACGAGGCGACGAGGCGACGACGACGACATCGACGACGCGACGACGACGAGACGACGACGACGACGTGGATGCTGGATGCTGCGGCTGGTTTGCCTGGCACCGCCAGCGAGCGACTGCCAAACAGCGGAACTACTGAGCGGTTCTGCGGCCCCTCGGGCCCTCGGCGGAAGGGGGTTCAGAGATTTCGAGAGGACAGGAGGAGGACAGAGGACTGTAGGTTCTTGGAAGTCGTAGGAGAGTAAAGGGAAGCGGCGGTGGCCCTTGGGCCGCGAGCGAGCCTGCAACTGTACAGCAGGCTCGCATGGACAGACAGGCGCGGCACATCGGCATGTTGCGGCGATTGCGCCGGCTCCGCAGCGCGCATCTTGCACGCGCGCTGCTCTCGCGCCCAGCGCAGCAAGTCCCCAAGAGCCGAGGCAAAAAAGCACCACCACCGACCGAGGCAGATCGGCGAGGGCGGCGCACGGGTTCTGGGGTTCTGGTGTTATGGGAGGCACCGTGACCTGCAGGTGAAATGCCCAATATCCCAAGATCCCAAAGACATACCCAAGACCCCAAAGACCTAAACGCACTAAACAACTAACACAGTGCTTTGAAAGGGGGGGCGCGGAAGCTAATACTGACTGAGATGACTGGATTACATGGTCATACACTGCCAGGGCCGCTGAACTTCCGAACTTCCAGGAAGCATCGACGCCTCGAAGCCTGGAATGGTTGGGTAGGGGTAGGGGGGAGGGTGCGGAAGGGAAGGGACGGGAAGGGAAGGGAAGGGGGGAGGGGAGGGAGGGAAGATGGGGAGAGGAGACGAGAGGAGACGAGGAGTCTGGGAGAGGAGGAGAGGAGCCCGAGAAGAGGAGGAGGGGAGGAGGGGAGGGGGGGGATGGATGGTGAGTCGCATCATGGCTCGTTGGCCTCCTCTTGACTCCTCTTGGACTCCTCTTGCCCTCGTGCCCTCGCGCCTCATCTACTCATCTACTCATCAGTTACACCATCCCACCATCATCCCATCATTAGTCAAGCCATTCATCACACATCGCATCATCGTATCATCCCATGCTCTCATAATCACGCCCAGCCCGCCTCTGTAGCGGCGCGGCGCAGCGACACCTCGCCTGCGCACGTGCCTTCGCTAGCGTGTGTAACTGTATCTTGCACGCACATACATACATGCACATCTAGAGATCGAGACTGCAGTGTCCACTGCAGTGTTGTTGATGCGCACGCGCACGCAAACTAAGGCATTGCGGGCGTGCTCAGAGCGTCAGCGCCAACGCACGCACGTCCTCGGATTGATCTACCCTGGTAACGAATCCTAGAATGAACAGCCAATGAACTCCGGCAACGTGGACACACATACTGTTCCCCGCCTGCGCAAGCACGGCGTTGCGATTCCTCCCGCTGCGGGGAATGGCGAAGCTGCACAACGACCTCCGCGAGCTGGAACGCGGAGTGGCAAGATCATCCCGCACTGGAAAGCCTTGGGCAACGAGAAGCTCCATGGGGGTCAGCCAGCGGTCGATTCCCGAAGCGTAGTGAATAGACGGCTTCGAAACGATCGCGTAGAGCACCTGGTCCGAGGGGGCCGTCACGCCCCGGCTGCCCACCTGGACGTTCTGATGGAGGTTGTACACCAAGCCTGGCTGAGCGGCCCTCGACTCATACTGGGTAAGGTTCTCCCGCTCCCACGGCGAGAGGCTGTCGCGGAAAGCCCCTGGCTCGTTGGCAGCAGCGGCGGGCACCGGCTTGAGGTTGTGCGAGCTACTGCTAGGGCGGCGGCGGGCCCACTCGAGCTCCTTCGCCTTCTCCTCGTCCGTAGCGATGAAGAACTCCGCGTAAGTACAGCGACGATGCCGGTGAAACAATCGCACGACATTCTGGAGGCTGCTGCGAGTAGCACTCACGTGCGTCTTGTGGAGCATGACCGTCCAGCGTCGCTGCCGACGCACAGGCCATCCGAGGTCCGTGGGTTCCAGGATGTGGCTCAAGATGATGTACATGTGTCCTAGATTGCGCTCCAGCACATCCAAGGGGAACTTATGAGAATTTTCATGGATGATGCACGCCTCTTGTATCACCAGGCGCATCGCCATCCAGATTGCCAGAACGATCGATGTCCTGCCCTCGTCTCGCTCCAAAGAGCCGCCTGGGCACCAATCGATGCAAGGCGTGCCGGCGGCGTGGACCTTGCCCGTGGGGTGGCGGCACCTTGCCTGGCACCGACGACACCCACCCACAATGCGTGCGTTGCCAATCTTCTTCAAGAGCGGCTCCAACTTGCTAAACTTGATCTTCTGGCCCCTCGCCTGCGCGTCCTTGAACTGATCCAGTAAGTCGGGGTGCCAGAAGTCTGTGATATCTGTGTACATGTGCTCCGGCGCTGGCTTGGCGTACGTGTCCAGCTCGAGCTCGCGGTTGCACTCCTCCGAAGACTCGACCGACGCCAAATGGCGCATCGGGCCAAGAGGGCCAGCGACGTGGGCCACCATGTCGTTGAGCGTAGCGCCGATGACATTCACGGCCGTCCCCGGTGCGTCGATGCCCGAAAACGCAGTTGTGTAAGTGGTCTCGGCGTACGCCCTGTGGATGTCCAGCAGTATGTTTCTCCCACAAGCCCTCGCGAGGCTGCATAGGGAGTCGTGCGCCCAGCTCATGAGGTCCGCCAAGGAGCGCACCACTGGCTGCTCCGCCCACGACACGCCGACCTCGCTGAGGTCGTTCCAGGAAGGGCCCGTGACCAGACCGCCAGGGGCGCCGCGCGGCCCACCGACAGCGCCTGGCGGCAAAGTCAGCGGGGTCTGCGGTGCAGCCTGCGGGGCAGATCCCGACCCGCCGCCGCCTTCGACATGGTCCCATGAGTCCCATAACGAATCGTAAAGACGCTCCATCTCATCGTCGTCAGTGAAGGCCGCGGCGGCAGGGGCGGCCTGAGGCTGTGGTGGCGATGGCGATGGCGCTGTGCCGCCTGCCGTTGCCTCGGCCGCCTCAGCCTCAGCCGCTGGCAACGCTGGCGACGGAATGACTGCGGTGGCCGCGGTGGTCGCGGACGTGGCAGACTGCAACGCTTCGGCCAGCGACACCTGCGACGTGGCATCGGCTGCAGATGCCGAGGCTCCCGCCTCCGCTGCTGACGTGGCTGCCGCGGGCGCTGCGCGCGGCGGCCCGCGAGGCAGCTGCTCGGGCACCTGCGTGGGCGGCGCGGCAGCAGCCGCGGCGGCTGGCATGACTGACATGGCTGGAACAGTCTCCTCCCGTCCTGCGGCGACGGCCCCGGCGGGCGGCACAAGTGGGCCCGCGGCGCCGCCGTCGGCTGCGTCGGCCGCGACCTGCTCCTCATCGCCGCCTGCGGCGACGGCTGCTGGCGCTGCCGGCGCCAGCGGAGCCGCGCCGCTGTCGGCGGCCGTGGCTGGGGCAGCCCGGGCATCCCCGAGGGCGACCTCCCCCTCGCATCCTGCGGCGACGGCCGGCGGTGCAAGCGGTGCTTCCAGTGCTTCGGCTCTGGCGGCTGCGGCCGCAGCATCCTCCTCGCCGCCTGCCGCCACGCCGCGCCCGGTGGCCGCGGCTGGGACGACATCTCCGTCGCGCCCGGCGCATCCAGCAGCAGCGACGGCAGCGACGGCTGGCGACCCAAGTGGGGCGGCAGCCCACGAATGGCGGAGGCTGGCGGCCCAAGTGGCTGCCAACTCGGTTGCGTCCAGCGGAGTCGCCCCGCGGTCGGCGGCCACGGCTGGGACTGCTGCCGGGGCCGCTGGGACTTCCGCCGCGACATCTGGCAGCTCAGGATGGGTCGCGTCGCTCGCGGCGACCTCCTCGGACTCCTCGGCCTCTCCGCCGCCTGCGGCGACGGCTGCCAGCGCAGGCGGGGCCGGCGGAGCCGCGGCGCATGGGGCAGCCCCCTCGCGCGCATCGCGCCCTGCTGGCGGCGACGCAGCTGCGTGGGCAGCGACCGCCGCGTCGCCAGTGGCGACGGCTGCCAGCGTCGACGGAGGCGCGCCGCTCTCGGCGGGAATGGCTGCCATAGCATCGCGATCCTCGTGCCCCTCGCAGCCTCCGGCGACGGCTGGCAGCGCAAGTGGGATCGCGTGGGGACCCACGGCCGACTCGCCGCCTGCGACAACGGCCGCCGGCGTCGGCGGGGACGCGCCGCTTCCGCCGGCATCACCGCGGGCATCACCGTCGCGCCCCTCGCGACCTGCAGCGACGGCTGGCGGCGCAAGTGGGGCCGCGTCGCCGTCGCCATCATCGCCGCGCCCCCCGCGGCCTGCAGCGATCAGCGGAGGCGCGCCGCTGAACATCTCGTCCCCAGCGACACCGGCCGCCGCCGCCGCTGAGGCAGCGCGGGCTGCGCTGC